ATTTTATGGATGCGTATACATTTTATATGCATGGCAACATACCCAGGAATCTTGTGGTTTTCTTCATACAGTTCCATAAAAATTTTAGAAGCATGTACAATGTTTATAATCTAAACTGGAAAATGATGAAGTATTAAAGATCTACTTAATTTGCCAGCAGCCCAGGGGGATGTGCTGCTCTTGGGAAGCCTGCTAGTGAAATAAATTAAACTGCGTAGTAAAGAACTTGTTTAAAGCCTCAGCAATTCTAATTCATTCAAAACAATAACAAAAACAAACAAACAACCCCTCCCACCAAAACAAAAAACACAACCCAAATTAACAAAAACAAAAAAATGGAAGAGCAGCACTGCCCCCTGGTGGACATATAGAGGAATTTGCAAACGAGGCCTTTTTCTCTGAGTTGCTTTGTTTTTTGGAGGGAGTGTTGCATATTATTATCTTTTGAGAGTTTTGTGTAGTTGAAAACCTGCCTATCTTCCACCGTAAACATGTATAATGATCTAGGTAAACAACATGTGTGTGTGTGTGTGTAGCTGGGGCGGGATGCTTACAGAGAGAAGCCTGGGAAGGCATGGGAAAATGTTGAGCAGTTTTGGGGGAAGAGGGAGTATTTTGTTTTGGGAGGTTGGGTCTCACTATGTAGCCTTAGCAGGCCTGGAAATCTCTAAGTAGACTAGACTGAACTCAAGCTCACAGAGATATGCCTGTCCCTGCTTCCCCAGTGGTGAGATGAAAAGTGTACAGCATCCTGGCCAGTAGGGAGCCCTATGAAACTTATCGTCAAATCTCTAACTTGGCTTTACTAGGGCAGAGGCCTGGCATGGGTCCAGGAAGATACACCGGCAGAACTGACAGGGTAAGATATTTTGCCATACTCGTCAGTTTTTAAAATAAGTCTTACTTTCTATAAATAATACTTAATGAAAACAATGAATTCACCCTGGTGACTGCAATTGAGCCTTGCCACCCCATATGTCACAGCAAAGATGTTTGCATGTTGGAGGAAGTTATCCTGGAGGGTCTCTGCATATACTCATATGCTAGTTCACAAGCATTTTTGGTATCTACTCTGTTAGGTTAGTGCAAGGCTCTCAACTCACAAAGACTGGGTTTTGGAATACTTCAAATACAGCCACGACTGCAGAGAGTCCAGGAGGAATCAAAATACTTAACATGGTAAGGCTTTGTAAAGCCCAGACCATGGCAAGCCCTGAGCTCCTATCAACAACAAGCTCTTTCAGGCCTGTTCTGAGCCCATACGTCAGGTAGGTGAGAGGGCTGTGGAAGATGTGATCCTTGTTCTTGGGGTGCTCACTTCTGGTTTCAGGAACAGTACTGGTTTAGAAGGAAGCCAGGGAGAGTAGAAGCAAAGTGGACTGTGTAGCACTTTGGAAGCAGTACTGTACTGAAAGAGCACCCCAAATATGCCAAGCTCCCTGAGAATCCAAGGGAGATAGCATCTAAGTTAGAATATTTTGTTAATTCCTAGATGAGATAAAAAAAACACCTGCTTCTTTAAGGGGAGTAGAGGTAAAAGTGGGAGAAAAGTGCAGTCATGGTGGGCCCCCAGAGGACAGATGATCTACCATAAGCAGGATCAAAAGAACTGTGGAAGGAACAGCCTTGGAGCTGAGCCTTGGGGTGACTATGATGAGTCAGAGCAGAGGGCAGGGGTAAGCACGGCTCCAGTCTCAAACTGAGCAGAAACAGAAACACAAGAAGCAGCACGCATGAGAGTCATTCAAGATGGTAAACGCACAGAATAGTGTTTGAGAACAATGGCAATCAGAGCTTTGTTCTTGACATAGTATTAAATAGAGTAAACATCTCAAAACTTACCCACTGTATGCGCACAGTGAATGAGGTTGAGTATGTTTGCAGAGGTGTGAACTCACCAAAAATAGTCTTAGAACATCCTGGCCATTCCAAAAGTCCTCAGGCCTAATATAGAGTCCTTTTGTTCTGCTTCTTTCATTTATGATGATGGGAAAGAAATGCAGGGTTATCATCCTGTGAGGGTTAAGTGTTGTCAACTGACAGACACTAGAATCACCTGGGAGAAGGGCCCCTGCCTCCATTGCCTGTGAGGGATTGGTCCTGACTGAGGTTAGAAGACATGCTCATTGTAGGCAGTACAATCCCTGGCTGGGATCCCCGGCTGTGTAAGTGAACTGGAGGAGAGGAGCTGACAGCATCAGGTCTTCCTCATTCTCTGCTTCCTGACTGTGCTGTGACCAGTGGCTGCTGTAACTCCCTGTTGACTTTCTTGTCACTTTGAACTGTGGCCAAAACCAACCCTATTAATTTGAACCTACTGTGGTGTTTTATCACTGCAATAGAAAAAGATGCTGAGATCCATCCCCAAATATGCTTGCTACCAGGGTATGCTGATTGTTTTAATTAAATGAATACAGTGGACAATGTGTGCTAAAATTAGCGTTCCTGACCTCCCTTGTCTGCCCAAAGTCCAAAGCCACAAGTGACGATGACTATCTTCTAGCCCTTCCCTGAGCTTTCATGAACTAAATTGAAAACGAAGGAAGACTGAAATCTGTCAATACCAGTTAGACATCACACCCCACTGTATACTATTTCAGTAGGAGTGAATAAACCATCTCTTTTGTTCGAGGTGGCTAGCAAGTGACAATACAGGATAGCCAGCTGCATTTCAGTGTTAGATAAAACAGCAACATACACATTACATTCAATATTAAGATATTCTTACAATAAACATTTTTTCTGTTTATCTGGTATTTGAATTTCATTGAAAATATTGTATCTTATCTGACAAGCCTACTTAACATATATACATGGAAATGGACTGCTGGGTCACTAGACAGGATTATATTTAGTTAAAAAATTTTAAACAGACTCTGCCATTTTATATCCCAGTAATAAGCAAAGGACTTTGCCAAGGAAGGTGTTACCACTTATTGTATATATATTTTTTTGTTTTTGAAAGACAGAGTCTTGCCATGTAGCCCAGGCAGGCCTTGAACTTTTGAGTTCTGCTTTGGTCTCCCAAGTGTTGGGATTATAAACATGTGTCACCACACCTGTCACCGGTAGTCTCCATAAAGAATAGACATTAATATGTCTTCTTAGGAAAAAGCCTACCAAACTCTCAGCCATTTTAAGACTGGGTTATTGTATTCATTTTTATGAATTCTTCATATATGTGCACCATGGGATGGCTTAAAGGGTGTTTGCCTCCAACCTAGCCACTCTGAGGTTGATTCCCCACAAGCCTACATGGTGGAACCTAATCCAAGTTGTTCTGTGCACTAAGATGCTCAGACACACACACAATGTAATTTTAATATTCTTTATATATCCTGAATGCAAATCTTCTCAGGTATATAATTTGCAGTTGCTTTCAGTCAGCTTTGTCCCTATACTCTTAATTGTGCTTTTGTTTGCCCTAAAAGATTTTGAATTTTGCCAAAGTCCAATTTATCAAATGGGTTCTGTTTAAGTCTTTCATGTGGTTTCACATTTCCTTCTAGAAATTGTATAGTAGAACTGGGAAGTCTATAAGGACTTCCTAATCCTCTTGCTGTCGCTTTCCTTTTGAAATATGGCCATCTCCAGCACCATCTGTTGAATGCTATCCTTCCTCCCACTGGGTCACCTCAGTATGGTATGGTGTACTTATAAGGGCTCATTTCCTGAACATTTGTTCCACAGCTCTCTATGTCTACCCTATGCCAACAAACACTCCAGAAGAGGGTGTTCAATCCCTTGAAGGTGGTTGTGAGGCACCAGTATGGGTGCCGAGAACTGAACTCAGGCACGTCACAAAAGCAGTGTGCCCCTTTAAGTGCTGAGCCATCTCTTCAGCCCTGGGACTCTTACATTCCTTTCCTTGGTGACACTGAGGGCCTTGTACCTGCTAGGTGAGCACTTCCCTGCTAGCATGATAGCTTATTCAGCCTGTTCAACTCATTTCCAGTTTGACCTTAAAGCCCACTTTGTAATAATAGAGGACTCCCAGGATCTTTATTGTTGATACTATGTATTCACCCCAAAATTTCACACCCAAACTAGTTACATCTGAATCTAAAGATGCCTCTGTGGGCAGGCACTTCAGTTGATGCTCTTTTAACAATTCTGTTATTCATGGCTCCTGGATTTTGTTTAGAGACAGGTGCTTTGTAGCTTGAGGCACATAAGCCCAGGTTATCCCTAACTTTGGGATTGTTAGACCTCTACCTCCTGCAGGTTAAAATTATTGACATGCACAGTCACACCCAGCTCAGTGAATAAAATTATTGGTTAACTCATGCATGCCATTTTGAAAATGATTTTAAAGTCTGGGGCCCTTTGGTTCCTGTTTTGTCTTTTGTTAAATAGTTTTACTGTACTATTCTTGTTTTTGCACTTAGTCCAACCAAATTTGAGTGCTGTTAAGTGGTTGCTCTAGGCTGCAATAATATGCATGCCAATTATTTTTGGATTGAGGGTGTAATTCTGATAAAATACAAGTTGTTCCATTACTGTTCTATTTCCTAATCTCCCATGCGCTGCTATCCTATCCTGTACCTAAGATGCAGACCCAACAGTACAGTGCTGTAAGTACTGCTTTATATAACCTAATAAAAGGAAAATACTTATTGTGATAGCTCAATGTCTCCCCACAATGCTATCTGGTTGTTTAATCCGGTACGAACCCTGGTGCTGAAGTGGAAGAACAATGATGGAATGGAAATTACTAAGCAGGGAGAGCATCTTAGTTTGCCTCAGGAGACACAGGAGCAAAGCAGAAGAAACAGATGCAATGTAACATCTAACAGAGGTGAGGAGGGCAGAGGACATGTGTACAGGATCTGTAGCTGTGGCTGGCTTGGGCAACGGAAAGAAGCCACTAGCCAAGAAGAGTGGGTAGCTAGCTTCTAAACACTCAGTTCTACAAACTCATGAAACAGTGAATTCTATGGCAACCTGAGCTTGAGAGCTTATTTAATTTTGCTTTCCAGATAAGAATGTTGCCACTGACACTGGTGGGAAAAAGTCATTTATTTGCATTGCTTCCATTTTCTACTGTAGTGTTAGAATGAAACTTAAGCATCTCCCTAGTTTTTATTTACAATTCATCTGGAATATTACTACACATATAATGTACATTTAAAAAACTGAGGGGAAATGCAGTTTATGTTTTTTTCTCTCTTCACAGGCTTCTCAAAACCATTCAGCTTAAATGAAAATTTCTATGGACACCTGTACATATCTGAAAGGGCAGAGATCACACCAACAGAGATAAAAGACTTTTGCACAAATACAATAAAATATAGAAAACAAAGTATAGATGATGTTATTTGGGGGTACAAATATAAACAATACAGTACCATCTGAGTAACTTAGCAACATAATACTCACACTTTATAGAAATAAAACTGCAAACCTGGCGGATGCTGACCAATATTAAACATTATATACACAATGAGGTAAATGTACCTTGGTCTCTTGAGAGGTAATTTAAGTTTAAAGCAAATGACATATTGAAGCATCTCCTTGACATATAAAGAAATATCAAATATTCCATTCCATTGGCACAATGTGAAAAAGGGATTATCAAAACACAGTTCATAATATTAAACTCACAAATCTCATTGAAAAATAAAAGCAAATTTACTTTAACAAAGAGACTGAATGTTACTGATAATATTCTTTAAATGTTTGTAAGTAAGAGTGCGTAACAGGACTGAAAATAATGTGCTGACAGACCTCAGCTTTCCTAGAGAGGGCCCATGAAAGTTTCAACATCCAACACATGAAGCTGCACTGCATTCCTGAACTATTCTTCAGAATCTCAGCACACTGACATGTCTGCTGGGCCGTTACAGAACAACATCTGAAATCGCTATGATGTGGAGCCAGAACACTCCCATGACCAAGGAACGAAGAAATGATTTACAATCATTCCTTCAGTCCATGGAGTGAAATCACAATGTCTTCTGGGCAGATTTTGGTGTGCATGTTTAGTAGTTTGTCATTGGTTTTACGTATCTGACAATTTGCAGAGGAAAGAGTCAAACATGTACGGATTACAAAAATGGTCAAATGGACACTTAAGTCTGCAGTGAGAACCAAAGTCTGGAATTCTTGATGGCCATGGCACCACGCAGGGCCTCAAGGCACTTCTTGAGTAAGACTGTAGTAGCAGGGTTATAGGCTCAGCTCTTCATACCTCTACTGTCCTACTAGGGACACAGCTGGCCACTGCTTCTAAGGCCAACTCCCAGTGCCACTCAACTGTTACCCTAACCTTTGCCCAGAGCTGACATCAGAGCAGGGGCACCAGCAGGGGCATCCCAGCCCCAGTGTGCAGATCCCTCCCCATGATGCCCAGTGACTCAACAAAGTGGAAGAGCGTCACACAGCTTCCTTCCATCAACCACTTCATTTTAGGTCTCAAAAGCAGCTCTTAGGTCCAAAGGCGGGAGGCAGGGCCAGAAACAGCTCTTAGGTCCAAAGGCAGGAGGCAGGGTCAGAAACAATAAGCCTCTGAGCCAGGGGGCAGCAGAAAGGCCGAGAGGGAAAAACAGAGCTGAAGATGTAAGGGACTCAAGTTGTCTAAGCCTCAGTTAGGTCACACTTCCTTCATGCGAGCTCAGCCAGGGTGCTGACAAAACGGTACGTAATTTGTCAGTTGACATGTCTTAGCTATGCTACATCTTGGGGGTGGGGAGGGGATCTTTGAGCGGCAATAGAAACAACAGCCTGTACTACAAAATGATACAGAAGTACTTCTCTAACTCAATGTGTCTATAGTCATAGCCACATTAACCATCATCTACCTCAGTTTTTAAGTTTTCAGATTCAGTATTGGCCACCTAGAGATTATCAAACTATCCCTACACAAAAAATTAGCTGTAAACATGTAAACTCAATTTAGAACTAAATTCTAACTTTAAAAAATTCCCTGATTCATCAAAGCACATTTTATCCACTTAGGTACGAAAAACATAATGATTCTTCAACCTCAGATGTCATAAGAAGTGTCTTCAGCAAAAACCCATTTCCTTGTAAGAAAGTAAGAAACGTATTACAACTTTAACTCAGACAACTTTTGGTATGGTCTTAAAATTATATAAAAACAGTTTTAGTGATAAAATGCATTGGTCCCTGGATTTCTATAAAGCAGACCTCAAAGTGTTAGAAATGGAAAAAACAGAAAACAAAGGCCCCAAAAGTACCTGATTTACAGCACAAGAGCTTATTAAGCAGGTGATACAAGTGTAACAACAAACCCTTACTTACATTATGAAATCATGATAATTACAGAAAAAACTCAGATTTGTATTAAAAATACTAATCTCTAAGTGCTTTTTCCCATGATGTTTTTAAATGTATGAAACTGACACTAATGCCTAGGTAACATGTCATTCATTCTACAGTTACTTTGGTTTAAGACCAAATAGTCTTCAAATTTATGGTAGGTTTGAGATAAGACATTAACAGAGCCCAGCGGCTTCAGATCAACAGTCACAATCTCTTCTTGGCTAAACACTAAAGGTTACTTTGACCTTTTTATCTGGGAATTGGTATCACTATGTTCAACATCCTGTCTCAAGTGATGAAACATTTCCCCCCTAGAATATGATCACAGTGATAAAAAGGACTTTAAAAGCCCTGCAAGCCCTGCAAAGATTTGACAGCACTGAAATAAAACCCAGGCTTAACTACCTAACTCCCAGCACCAGTCAGAAGACCTAATGGGCTGACTTTGACATTTCATATGACCAAGAATATATGAAGAGCCTCTACGCAGAATAGCTATTAGCTGCCGCTTTTCCTAGTATCAAGGGTGGCACTGAATTGAGTGCTACATGTAAATCAAGCAGTTGCAAGATCTGCACATATGAGATAAAAAGACTAAATTAATAAAAGCTGCCTTCCTCAAAGTGTAGAGACCTCAGAACTCCAGTAACTCTACCCTTCTCAAGATAGAATCCACAAATACTTACAGCTACGTACATGTGAAAGTCACCTACACTTGCTGTATATTCAAATTAGCTATCTCTGCCTTCCTAGGAAAAGGCCTATTATTTAACATTAACCACATTTGAATTGTAAATGCAATTCCTTTCCAATAAAGAAAAAAAAACCAACAGAACACTGTCTTTGATCAGATTAAGAAAAAGAAATGGCTTACAGAATAGCACACAACTTTTCCTTCCACAATAGACAAGCCTCCCCTTTCAGAAGGAGTCTGTATACCAAAATGATTAAATCTATAAAGCACTGTACATGTCTGGAGTGCCACTTCACTTCTTAAAATAAACTCAGGTTAAACATCTCAACTGCAGAGCTCCAGAGCTCCGTGTGGGGATGTTCCGCATGACAGTCACTGCTTATTAATGCTACAGCATTGCCTCAGTGGTTCAAGCACATCTGGGTAGGAGAAAGGCATAAATACTGAATGACATCTACCACAAAAACTCTTAAAAACAAAAACAAACCCAGAAAAGGTTTAGTTTACTCAGAAAAATAAACTTTTTGAATGAAAATGATACAGGACTTAACACAGACTTTAAGCAGTTCTGTTCGTTTTCATTTAGAAAGACACAGAAGTGGCACTTACTGGTGTAGTACAACCCTACTTCGAAGGTGTGTTGTGTCTGGAGTGTGAAGGAGCAGGAGCTGTACACAAACACAACTAATCAGCTGTGCTCCACGCCTACATGAGGTCATAGTTTTTAGACTATAGAGTTTTAAGTGTTAAAGATCTTGAAAAATTATAGAACAGTACATTCAAAGTGACTCAAGGAAACGCTAGTGGTCCAGAATCCTCTGAGAATGTACTCCTAGGAGTGAAAATCAGAAGTGCTTCACCTAGCTCCACGCTCCGGCTCCTTCACCCTTACAGATGGTCGATAGTACAGCAGCTCCCTAAGGGCTGGCAGTCGTCTTTAAAAACAAGCTTTGTTAATAAAACAAAAGTAGACTACACAACATTCTGTAACTGTCTAGAAAAAGTATCCATAGTGCACAGAAAGGATCCCCACAGCTGCCTCTGGGCTCAGAAAAACCCTGGGAAGCTTTCAGTTGACCATATTCCACTGCAGCAAGAGGAAGCAGAGCCCTCCGTTCTCTCAGTGAGGTAGAACAACCGGCCTCCTAAACACCCAGGAGCAGATACGAAGAGAGCAGAGTTCCCACGAAGTTTCAGTTACATTTTGATGCCTTCCTGCTGGCTGAGTTGTGACAATGTCTTTTTAATTCGCAGAGCTGTCAGCCTAGCTGCTCCATTGGCATACCAACATTCTCTCATGATTTTAGCCATCACTCTCAAGGCCTACAAGAAAACATAAGAAAAATAATTAATGCACGCATACTGCTTGCTATTGATCTGTGACTTTAAAATGATATGGTTTCTATTCTAGATTCTTTTTAGTACCAAATGAGAACTTTAGTCTCCATCAAGATCCTGGTGCCAGCTGCTGGAAAGGCTGTAGACAGGAGAGTTTTTTCAGGAGACCTCCAAAAGTTGACTCCTGATTCAGTACTGAAAGGATGCACCCACTATGCCACCCGAGACACTGGGTGCATAACTGGACTTTGAAGTCCTTTAGAGCAAAGCTTAGGCTAGAAAGCAGGGAGAAGAGCTCAAAGTGCTGGATCCCAGGTTCTGACCACTCCAACTTGTCCCAGCTAGGAACCAAGCCACCTCTCCAGCCCAGCAGAAGGTTTAAGGGTTTTGTCCAAGGAAAGAAAGACTGATCCCTGGTTCCAGAGTAAAAGAGCAGACATCTCACACTGGAAGCATGCTGAACTCTGACTGTAAGCCTTCTCCTAGAACACAGTAGTAGCACCTGTGCACACTCTTCTTGGTGGAGTCTGAAGGAATCTCCCCTGGAGATCTGGGCAGTCCAAGAGAATAAGCCCGACAGATTATCAACAGTGACCAGAGAATCAATCAAGTAACCCAGAGAAATCACCTAAAGGATACACACGTAAGCTCCAATCACATGCACCTACACCTTCATTAAAAGTGGAAATTATCTGATCGTACATTTGAAAAAAGTAACATGAAATGAAGAAACTGAGACCAACAGAAGATGTAGAGAGAGAACACTGTATCAAAGCTCTACTGTTAGTAGGCAGGATATTGCTCCTTGGTACAGTGTTTGTACAGTATGCATACTGTGTTCAGCCGCCATACCACCACCACCACCAAACCCCTGGGATTCATCATTGATTCATGTGTTTTGTTTTAAGTTTATTCTTTCTGTGTAGTCTTTATACTCAAAGTTACTCTATTCTTTCCAACGTTCCCTTCAGTCCCTGTATTTTATACTACAGCACTCCTCAAATGTCGAGTGATAGACTAATAAGGTTCTGTAAGCAGTGACTAGGAGGAACATTCAGAGGTAATTACAAATAACTACTTGAGAGAAGTCAGGTGGGAAATATGGGGAGGAGAGTAAGGGGAGGGAGAATGAAGAGATACACAGAAAAACTGAATGAATTGCGAAGCTGATAAATCTTCTAATATGTGGAACAAAACCTGGAGGGTGGGTAGGCTTATAGTAAGGTCACCAAAGGTGAAAAAAACCAAAGGAAGTAGGAGACTACCCAAGATTACTCCAGAAGTATTTCCTAGAAAATATGTTTCTAGATTTAAAGGACCATGTACCAATGTATACATAATACATTTATTTAAACAACTATTTTTGAAGGCCTATCATTTAACAAATATTTCTGAAGGTGTTAGATACAGCAGGGAACAAACATGAAATCTCTGTCCTCAAAAAGTTTCCATTTCAAAGATAAGCAAATTAATAAATTACTGTGAAATACAGACCTTTAGGTCATAAATGCCAAGAAGAAAAACAATTTAGAGAGGATAAAGCATGCCAAGGGAAAGCATATTCTCAGTAGGAAGGGAAATGACTGATTTGAACAGTCCTGAAAGAGAGGAGCACACAAACAGGGAGATGGAGGAGTACACAAAGAGGGAGGTGAAGGTCCAGAAAGGACACAAAAGCAAAAGGAACTCCAGGACAGAAGCCACACAGTGGCTCTCAGAACAACCAGTCCAGACTGGAAACAGCAGAAGGCCCTGGAAGACACATTTATGTACTGACCAGTTTGGGGTTTGTATGTGCATTTATGAATATGTTACTGCAGACTGAACCTAGGGCCTCACACACACTTGGCAGGCACGCTAGCACTAAGCTACATGTTGAACCACGTAGAGTACTTTTTAGTTTTACTCTTAGGTTTCACTACGCTCGTTACCAAGGCTGCTTACATTAGAGCTCTATAGTGCAGGCAGGCTTGAGCTTGTGACATTTCTGCCTCAGCCTCCTGAGCAGCTGGGATTATAGACCTGTGCCAGCAAGCTCAGCCAGTTCCATACTCTTATGTGCGTCAACTGAGAGACTTTAAAAACCTAGAAAAATAGAAACTTGAAATAGCAGTAAGTACATAGAAAACTAATCTCATCAAATTGAGAAAATAAAACAGCAGTGATAGCATTAATTAGCATTCCATAACAGTAACTATGAACCATACAAGTTCTTAATAATAACCAACTTCTTCCTGCTTAAAAGACATCTGTTTTTAAACTGCTTCAGTATTAAATGAGTGTGAGTACTTCATGACTGTGCTATCAAATACCCGGAGACAATTTTAAAGCACAACCTTGTATGTTGAGTTCTGTCACATGAACACTCTGGACACATTGACTTGTCTCCTCTGGGTCTGCATATTGTATTTTGCTTAAGGTATCATACATTTTTTTTTAAACTTTAAAAAATTTCTTAAGACATTTTTCTCTTTAAGAGAAAAGACATCTCTTTAATAAGAAGACATACTTTTTCTTTAAGTTCCTCTCTCCCATAATCTGTTATTAACATTTGGGTATGCATCCTACCTGGATGTTTTTTCTAGGAATACATGTTTGGCACTTTCCCAGCAAAGCGAGTAGAACTTTGTAGACATTACCAACTACAAGAGAGACTTCTCTAAAATCACAAAATACTACCTTAGTACAATTCCTTGGGGCCTCATTAAGAGATCTAACTTTGTTGTTATTTTGAGATAGGATCTCCTGTAGCCCAGGTTGGACAGGAACTGGCTGAAGTTGAGCTTAAACTCCTGAATTTCCTGCTTTTACCTTGGAGATCCTAGGAGGACAGACCTGTGTAGCACCACCCTGGCTTAAAGTGGTGCTGAGGAGCAGTCCCTGGCCTCTGGTAATGAAGCATGAACTCTACAAACTCAGCCATGTGCCAGCTAGAGAGAGCACAGTGATGTCGGAAGTGTCAGAGCACTGAGATGTCTAGCTCTTTCTTTTTTTGAAAGTCCACCTAAACTATAAAATTTCCAATCTGGAAGGCACACCTTGGTACACTAATATCTAACAGTAACAGTTGTTAATAAAATTTGTCTTATGATTTCTTTGACTTCACAGTTAAGAATGAATTCCTACAACATTCTATAAAAGCTGGGGATGACATATTCCAGACTGTTGGAAAGCACCCCCTCCCTTCTGAGGAGCAGTCCTCCACAGCCCTAGGAATACAGGTCATACGTCTGACATTCCCTGCAATGATCAGACCCAAGCTCCTCATCTTACAAAGGAGTGCTAAGCTCCAGAGAACTGATGCAACCTGCTCATGTCCGAGTCTGAAATGGGAGCCAAGCTAGTACCTACAGGCCTCCTTATTCCTGCCCAGTTGGCTGGAGGGAGGCCTTCATTTCAACAGCAGGCATTTTACTTCATTTAGCATATCTAACAATATTCAGACATACCACTGACCACTGCAAATGTTTCGTGCCTTTTAATAATTTTACTAATACTTACTAGTTTATAAAAAGGAAAAGAACCTTTACATTTTTCTTTACAGAAAAGTAACAAATTTCTGCCTACTAAGTAGAAACAGTTTAGCAAAGAGCCTTGTATCAAAAGGAAACACTTACCTCACAGCTCTGCCATCTGTTTGGAATATTTGGCCTTAACTTCTGTTCACAAACTACTTTTCTCATTTCTTCAACCGATGGATCAGAAGGTACAAGATCGTAGTAAGGCAACTGGTAGTCTTCATGGATTCCTGTATTGATTTAAAAAGTCTAATTTAATTCACTGTTGCCATGTTACTGGAAGGATTACTTGCAAGGCTCATTACAGTGGTTCATAATCCATCAGGTAGGGAAGTAAGGCTCAGAGCTTTCTGTATCTAATCCACATCTGCAGCAATAACCCACCCACTTGAGTCATCACCATGCCTGCACTTTTGTGAAGGATAGTGTTGTCAACTTGACAAAATATAGAATCACATGAGAGGCAGGACTCTGGACATACTTATGAGGAATTATTTTTGATTAACAGAACTGAGAGAGGAGGTCTTATCCCTTGGGCAAGGGATCCTGGAGTGTATAAAATAGAGAAAGCAAGCTGAGCATGCATGCACTCATTGGTCTCTGTTCTTGACTGTAGATGTGATATGACTAAGTCCCTCAAGCTCCCGCCACTGTGACTTCCCTGCATGACAGACTGTAACTTGGAACTGTGAGTCACAATAAACCCTTTTTCCCTGATACTACTTTTGTCAGAGTATTGTATCACAGCAACAGAAAAAGAAACTAGGACAACGTTGAGCCTTGTGTGCTATGATGACCAGATTGAGATTTTGACTATAACTCTCTTAGGCAGAAGATGAGATCTTATTGTGATGCAGTCTCTCACTGGATGCAGGAATATATTCTTATAAGAAGATGTGAATCCCACAAGGTTAGCTTACGATACAGATCTCTTCCTTTTGCTTGTGTCTGTAAATAACATGTCTTATCTCTCACTGTCTAAAAATTTTGAAGTCCTAAGTCCTAGCCAGGACACCCAAGCCTAAGAAACAGTGTTTTGAGCACACACTGACAAGTTCTCAGCCTAATATAAAACCAAAAGTTAAAACAAACAATCTAAAAAGCACACAATGTTAATGCAATTATCATCATACAGATCTTCAACAATCAAGCTGTAGAAAAACCTTCATAGTCTCTTTTAAAAAAGTTTTTTGTTGTTTTTTTTGTTGTTGTTTTAAGTCATTTTAGCCAAGTCCATACTAGAAACAGCTTCTCAGGTGGCCTTTCAAATAAGCAAGAAGATAGCAAGAGGCTGGCTTCTGACACTGTCTGAGACTAAAACAACAGCGGGAGAAGAAGCTGGAGAAGCTGTGTGGCAGGATTGATCTTTTGCTCCCTGTGGCATTCTCGTGGTCATCTGTCAGACTGCCCACTATAGTTTCGGTCAAGAAAAAAGAAAACAATTCTTGCCTAACTTCTCATGACAAACTATTGGGGAAAGACAGTGATTTACCACCAATGGAACAGCGTCGAGCAATTTCCCAGAACACTAAGCCCATTGCATAGATGTCAGCACGTTTGAAGGATTCAAAATGTTTCATATTTATGGAATCATCTAGAACTTCAGGGGCCATGTACCTAAAAAAAGAAGTCAACATTGTAGTCAACTATAAAGCACATTAGTTTTGAACTGTTTCATACACTTTTCCTTCTGGAAAAAACATATACACAGTCTGTGTCAGTATATAGACTAGACTGGCTTAGAGCACCCGGATTAAAAATGTATACTACCAAACACAGGAATTTTTTTCTCTTTTTATTGTGGTTCTGCTGTTTTAAAATATGATTCATACTTTCTACAAAAATATTTCCCAAGTACATAAGGAACAAAGTGAAAAAACCCACCCCCTTACCGTGTCAACACATGAGTCAGTCCCTTCAGACACTTCCCTATACACAGACACACATAAAATATCACATGACTGAGATCATATCAAATGCACACAAAATATTAGGTGTCTAAACTGGTTTGCAAATTAATGATGTTGACTAAATCCCATGAAATGCTGAAACGGCAGTTCCATGCCATCTGTCTTCTGATCATGGTTTATGAAAGACACACAGTGAACAGCTGTGGCTGTTACAAATACCCTAATGTACACCACTCTCATGGACTATTTAGGGACCACATATTTGATCTGGAAACCTCACCGAAACAGTATGAAAAAGGAAAGAGGAAAGCCACTGGGTTCTAAAGTAAGTGAATAAATTAGATCGATCCTTCCTTCCTTCCTTCCTTCCTTCCTTCCTTCCTTCCTTCCTTCCTTCCTTCCTCCCTCCCTCCCTCCCTTCCTTCCTTTCTCTCTCCCTCCTGCCCTCCTTCTCCCCTTCCTCTCTCTCTTTATTTTCCCTCCGTCCATCTATCCCTCCCTCTTTCTTTCTCTCTCTCCCTCTCTCCCTCTCTCTCCCTCCCTCCCTCCCTCCCTCCC